CCAAAGACTTAAAATATGAAACTTCTGAAGAAAACACCAGGAAACATATTTCTCACCTTAGAGTAGGCAATGCATGCTTAGGATGCAAATAGCACTAACCATAAAAGAAAATTTAATAGTGACTCATGTCTGTAATCCCAGCACTTTGGGAGGTCGAGGTGGTTGGATCACTTGAGCCTGGGAGTTCGAGACCAGCTGAGGTAATATGGTGAAACCCCATCTATACAAAAAATATAAAAATTAGTTGGGTATGGTGGTGCACAGCTCTGGTCCCAGATGCTCAGGAGGCTGAGGTGGGAGGATTTGCTTGAACCTGGAAGGTTGAGGCTTCAATGAGCAGTGATAGGGCCACTATGCTCCAGCCTGGGTGACAGAGCCAGACTCCGACTTAAAAAAAAAAAAAGGAAATTTAATAAAATGGACTTCAACAAAATGAAAAACTTTTGCTCTTCAAAAGACACCAGTAAGAAAATGGAAAACTGCTACAACTGGAAGAAAATGTTTCAATACATGGGTCTGGCAAACAACTTGTATTTCAGGAAGATTCTTAAAACAACCCAAAAAATAATGGGCAAAAAGTTGAACATGCACTCCATAAAAATGCTATATAAATCGCCAATAAGATCATGGAAAGATGTTCAACACCACTAGCCATCAGAAAACTCAAATTAAAACTACAGTGAGATACTACCATATGCCTACTAGAATGACTAAAAAAAAAAAGGCTAAAAACAAACAATATTGCTGAGGATGTAGGGCAACTGGAACCCTCCAACATTGCTGGTGGGAATGTGAAATAGTGCAATCACTTTGGAAAACAGTGCAAACGTTTCTTTTAAAGTTCAACATGGCCTTATGATAAATCCCAGAAATCCCACTCCTAGGTATTACCATAGACAAAATGAATAGATATATCCACACAGAGACTTCCAAATGAAAACTCAAGCAAGCTTTATTTATCATATCCAGAAACCAGAAAGAACGTCAATGTCTATCAATAGGTGAATGGATAAACCATTTTTCATAGGTTGGAAAACTACTCAGAACTAAAAATGAATAAATTACTGTTATGCATAGCCATTTGGATGAATTTCAAAAACTTTATGTTAGCCAAAGAAAGCAGAGACACCAAAGCATACAGGTTGAGAATGCTTTATCTGAAATGCTTGGGGCCAGAAGTATTTCCAATTTCAGAGAAATATTTGCATTTAAATAATGAGATATCTTGGGGATGAGACTCAAGTCTAAACACAAAATGTATTTATGTTTTATACACTTATGCACATAGCTTGAAGTTAATTTAATACAATGTTTTAAATAATATTGTGCATGAAATAATGTTTGCGTTAAGTACTTATATGTGGAATTCCCCACTTGGGGCATCATGTTGACGCTTAAAAATTTTTCAGATTTTGAAACATTTCTGATTAGGGATGCTCAACCTGTGCCTGCTGTACGATTCCATTTCTCTGAAGTTCTGGAAGAGGAAAAACTCACAGCGACACAAGTCAGATCAGTGGTGCCTCTGGAGAACCAATTAAGAAACCGCCTTCAAGAATTTTAGGGGTGATGGGAATGTTTTGTACCATGATTAGAGTGGTGATCACATAGTCGTACAGGAGACCATGGAACAACATGAGTTCGAACTGCTTAACTGCTTGGGTGTGCTTATATGTGGATGTTTTTCAGTAAATTTATTGGAAAATGTTTTGGAAATTTGTGAAAATCTGAAAAAACTCACAGACAAATCACATAGCCTAGAAATATTGAAAACATTAAGGAAAAGTTGTGTCATGAATGCATAAAATATATGTAGATACTAGTCTATTTTACTATTTACTACCACAAAATGTACACAAATCTATTATAAAAAGTTAACATTTATCAAAACATATGCACATATTTATAGACCCTATGTGGCTATAAATACAGTATAGTGCATAAATGTACTGTCTCTTCCTTATGATTTTCTTAATGACATTTTCTTTTCTCCAGATTACTTTATTATAGGAATACAGTATTTAATATAGATAATATATAAAGTATGTGTTAATAAATGGTTTATGTTATCAGTAAAGCTTCTGGTCAACAGGAGGCTTATAGTAGTTATTTCAGGGAAGTCAAAAGTTCTACCCAGATTTTTATTTTTATTTTTTACTCTGTCACCCAGGCTGGAGTACAGTGACACAATCTCAGCTCACTGCAACCTCCATCTCCTGGGTTGAAGAGTCTTGTGTCTCAGTCTTCCTTGTAGCTGGGGCTACAAGTGTGCACCACTATGCTCAGCTAATTTTTGTGTTTTTAGTAGATACGAGGTTTCACCATGTTGGCTAGGCTGGTCTCAAACTCCTGGCTTCAAGAGATCCACCTGCCTCGGCCTCCCAAAGTGCTGGGATTATAGGTGTGAGCCACTACACCCGGCCTATACCCAAATTTTCTACTGAGTGAGGAATCAGTGACCCTAACTCCTGCATTGTTCAGGGGTCAACTGTATATAGTTGTCAAAATTCAACAAACCGTAATAATAATAAGTACATTTTATTGTATGTAAGTTGTATCTGAAGAAAGCTGATTAATTTTTTTTAATTTTCCAAATTTGGCAAATATGTGTCTCTTCCAGTTGGCTGGCCCCTGTTCTTACATGTTCTTATCATTCCTTGAGCACTTCTTTACTTTCTGCCACAGAATATTCCTGGCTCATCTTGTACTTTCTCTGTCCCACCCTGGAATCATACATGTTTCTAAGCAAGCTTTGTTCCTTTTAGTGGACAATGATATTTAGAAACCAAGATGCGGGCACTAGGTTTACTCATTGTTATTGGGATGTCACAGCTCTCAGTTCTTCTCAGTGGACAGAGCTAGGAAATAGATGTATACACACTCACCCTTCCACAAACACATGTTCACACCTAGTGTTCACACTGAGAGTTTTATTCTATCTATAGTGAAAAACGAGTTCACCCCAATGCCTCTGATTCCAATCCAATGTGTTTCATACCAAACCTTACCATCATGACTTTTCTCTCAGGGTGACACAGGTGATATGTTAATTAGTCATTTCACATCTATGTGCCACTGGCTGTTACATTCTCACCCTGAGTATGAATCAGAGTCTCTTCATCTTTTTCTCTCTTTTTTTTTTTTGAGACAGAGTCTCACTCTGTTGCCAAGGCTGGAGTGGAGTGGCACAATCTCAGCTCACTGCAACCTTCGCTTCCTGGGTTCAAGTGATTTTCCTGTCTCAGCCTCCCTAGTAATCTCATTTCAAATGTCACTCCCTCAGAAAGACTTTTCAGGGGCTGGATGTAGTAGCTAATGCTTGTAATCTCAGCACTTTGGGAGGCTGAGCCAAGTGGATCACTTGAGGCTACGAGTTTGAGATCAGCCTGGTTGACATGGTTAAACCTTGTCTCTACTAAAAATACAAGAAATTAGCCAGGCATGGTGGTGCACGCCTGTAATCCCAGCTACTCGGGAGGCTGAGGCAGAAGAATCGCTTGAACCTGGGAGATGGAGGTTGCAGTGAGCTGAGATTGTGCCACTGTACTCTAGCCTGGGTGACAGAGTGAGACTTCATCTCAAAACAACAACAACAACAAAGAAAGGCTTTTCTCAATTACCCTGCTTAAAGTCAGCCTTCTTCAAGTTCTCACTTCTACAGCACTCTTTATTTCCTCAGAAATAATGATCATGTCACCCTATCTTGTTGATGTACCTCTCTGTAGAGCAGCGCCCCTCCCTCCCTTGTGAGAACATAAACTCTCAAGACCTCTGTCAGTCTCACTCATTTCTGTATTCACAAGACCCAGAACCATGACTGGCATATAGTAGATCGCTGAAGAGATATTTGTGAACTAGGTGAATGGGTGAGTGCCCCATCTCACATCACTGGTAGTAGCTTCCTACACAGGTAGGTTTGACCCTAAAGTCCACACTTTTTGAACTGCATGCTGACTCTTGTCTGTGGGAAGGACAGACAGGTAAATAAATAAATAATTAAATAAATAAATATCAAACTGTGTTAGTCTGTTCTCATTTTTTTATTTTTATTTTTATTTTGGAGACAGGGTCTCTGGTCTGTCACTCAGGCTGGATTACAGTGGTGCTGTGTCGACTCACTGCAGCCTCAACTCCCTGGGTTCAGGTGATTCTCCCACCTCAGCCTCCCGAGTAGCTGGGATTACATGCACCACCACATTTGGCTAATTTTTGTATATTCAGTAGAGATGGGGTTTCACCATGTTGGCCAGGCTGGTCTCAAACTGTTGGCTTCAAGTGATCTGCCTGCCTTGGCCTCCCAAAGTGCTGGGATTATATCAGTGAACCACTGTGCCCTACCTGTTCTCACATTACTATAAAGAAATACTCCAGACTGGGCAATTTACGAAGAAAAGGGTTTTAATTGGCTCACAGTTCCATAGGCGTTACAGGAAGCATGGTGCTGGCATCTGCTTGGCTTCTGGGGAGGCCTCAGGAAACTTACAATCATGGTGGAAAGAGAAGGGGGAGGAGCAGCGTTACATGACCGGAGCAGCGTTACATGTCCAGAGCAGGAGGAAGGCGGGGGGTAGGTGACACACTTTTAAACAACCGGATCTCATGAGAACTCACTCAATATCACGCAAACTGCACCAAGGAGATGGCGCCAAACCATTCCTGAGAAATCCACCCCCATGATCCAGTCAACTCTCACCAGGCCCACCTCCAGCACTGGGAATTACAATTCAGCATGACATTTGGGTAGGGACACACACCCAAATCCTGTCACAAACAAACAAGCGATAAGAACACAGCAAACCCCATTTTTTCTCTCAAGGAAATAACCATTTACAATGTAAAGTAAGTGGCAAAGCTGACTAGCTGAAAGAGTTAAATGAAAAAAATAAGAAGGGTTAGGAGGTGCAGGGGAAGCCAGTTAAACTAGTTTTTTTTTTTTTTTAAAGTGATTTTTTTCTCTCTCTCCTTTTTTTTTTTTTTTTTTTGCAAGAGGCCTAGGTTTGCAGTCTGCAGAGCTATCTACAGGGCTGGTGGGAGACCCCTGAAAAGAAACCGGAGAAGCTTGCTGACAAAAGACTGGAATTCTGGTATCTCTTTTGTTTTCACCCAAGTCTGTGGCCACTGACATTCCTCTTTTCCACCACGGGTGGATAATAAGCCCCCTTCTCAGGAATCGAAATGCTCTTATACATTTTAATGTGACCTTAGACAGCGCTGTTCAGAAATCACAGGCCCATCTGACTACACTTGAGGTTGAATTGAGCTAATGGTATTCACCTCATCTTTAGATGCAAAATTGGAAGATAAAAAGACCTTGATGTGAAAAGCGGGGGGGATGTGAGGGAGGGGAGGTGGACGGGTTGCGGGGGGCAGGAGGGGGGAAGCAGATTAGAGATACTGCTTAAAAATCACGTGATTGTGCGTTGATAACGAAATGTCTCCTCTTTCCCAAATCCCCCATGGGCTCGAGAGATGTCCTTATTCTTTTATTTTTAACGATAGAATCTTTTTATTCCTGAGCTGGGGAAATTTGAATGTTGCTGCATATGTGGCCAGGAGATACATTGACCTTTAGCAAATCTTATTTTAAAAAACCCAGATTGAACAGTTATTGCAATATTTCAGCCCTGTAAGATGAAAAGAGAGAGAGAGAGAGGAGAGGAGAGGGGAGAGAGCGCGCCTTCTTCCTCTGTAATCAGATGTGGATTAAATTTATTAAAGATGCTGTGTCTCCTTTTAAATGACTGGCAACCCTCTTTCTGAATTATCAGGAGCTGGCTGGAGACATGGCACCCTTCTGATTTCATCTTAAGATGACAGAGAAAAGTCTAAAATGGGAGAAAACTTGGTTCCTCTCTGTTGCTCTTTGGCTCAAACTTGGTTTTCATCCATTAAGCCAAATGCATTCAGGGCCCCATGGTGAGGCCCAGAAGGGGGTGAGGGGAAATGGGAGGGTGGGGGCACAGGGTGTGGTCAGATCAGCTTCCCAGGAAAGAAGCTGGGAGGGAGCCCCTGCAGCTCACATAAAATGCCCAACCCCTAGAGACAGGCTCATTTCCAGCTTTGACGTGCCTGCTGTCTGTCAAGGGCCCAGTGAATGCTTCCCACCCGCAGGGCTCAGCTGTCTCCAGGACTCAGGGGCCCATTGGGCAATCCATCACGGAGCACACCTGGCCTGCCCAAAGGACACAGCAGGTAGGGAGGGGTGCGTGTGGAGGGCGGGCTGGGGAGCGGTTGGCAGGGAGAGTGGGACCCCAGGTTAACTCCAGAGAATGGATCCGAATTGCTCAGACAGGACCTCAGGCCTCTGGGCGTATCCATCCAGAGGGGTGTACATAATTTATCAAGGTAGAAAGGGTGACAGATTGGGATGGTCTGGCCTTTGGCTTTCAGCTTGTCTGTATTTATAGAATTGGATGCTTGGGCCTGCAGGCCATTGCGCTCTGACTTTAAAATTGGGCATGCTGACTCAGGTACAGGTGGTGCATGGAATTGTTTTTGTTTTCTGTTTTTTAAAATTTTTTAAGACATGGAGATCTTGTTTGCTCCCATTTATCGCAACCATGAAGCTGCTGTGGGGACATTTCTCCATCTTTCTGAGACTGAGGGTCCTCCGTACGTCTTTGCAAAGGATGTCCCCATAAAAGGGAAATTCTGAAGCGCATTTCTAGTTCCAATAGAATTGCCTTTGTGGGTTCTTGTTTGGGAAGAGAAAGTGGCAATCCAGGGTCACTGTGTCCCATGGCATAATTGTAGCAGAAGGTTGGCTACGGCAAGCCCACTTAAAGACTGAATTTATGAGAGTTCAAAATTCACCCACCCTACAGAGAAAACACTATAGTTATAATTTTCCCTTAGCTTAGAATTCATTCATTCATAAGGAAATTCCAGACTAAAAGATGAGTTTGCCTAGAACATCTGGGTATAATATGTGTGTGGAATGAATGGAAAGGTGAATAAATGCCTGAGTGAATCACTGAATGGAATCTACAGTGAAAGTGAAAGTCACACTGAGCACAGGCATTTCAGTGAGTGCTGAAAGTAAAAGATGAGTGAATGAGTGAGGGAGTAGATTTCAGACTGAGGAGAAAGTGACCAGGGCACAGAGTAGGTGCTTCTTAAAACACAGTTCAAGTGATTGAGGGGGTGCGGGACAAGCTCCACGGGCATGTGGTAAAGTCTCCAGGACAGGACAGTGAATAATGGATGGTTTTACTTTCCCCATAAGGAGCTCATGGGGCGGGTGGGTTACCCCTTCCTACTGCTAGAGGAATAACTTAGGTCGCTCCAGAGCTCCTGAAGTCAAGTTCAAAGCAAGCTGTGTCTGGCTCCCAACTGCAGGACTGCCCCCTCTGTTCTGGGATGTTCTGCTGTTCCTCCTTGGAGTCCTTGTCCTCAGGGCTTGGCCCTGGTGGCAGGATGGGCTGGCTTGCTGCCTGAACAGCACACCTGTAGAGCATGCCGCCCAGCTTGGTGCTGGGAATCTCCTAGAAAAAAATGAGAGTTCCCACCCCTGCCCTCCAGGGCCTGAAAGCTTTCTTTCCATTGCGTGCCTAGAGCCCAAGGGAGAGCCAGCTCCTCCTCACCTTGTCCTGACCAGTCCTCAAAAATGCAGTCTTGGAGGCATGGAGGCTAGGGAGGGGCACTTGGTCAATCGCTTGGACCGGGGCCACTTCGCCTGAAGAATCCTTCAGCTTGGATACTTCTGCCAGGGGTTCTGAGACACGGGCCTGTGTCCACCTGACCCAGCCAGGCCACCTTGGTGGGGCGAGGATGGGGTGGGGTGCAGGGTGGGGCCGTGGTTAGCTGTGGCACTAGCGGGGACTGACTTCTCCCACCCCAGGAATGTGCTGACAGCTCTGAGTGTAGAATCCCCAACCTTTGTCAGCAAATCACAATCTAAAAATATTACAAAACTCCTACAAGAATGACAGGTCATCCGTGCACATGGCTACTTACAAGTTGGACTTACTAGGATTGTGTTTGTGGAAGAAGAGGGCTGGCAGGGGCATTAGTGAACGTGCTTGGGTTTTTGGATCCACAATTCATCTTGAGGTGTGAGACTCTGGGCCATGGACTGTCCCTTCTGAGCCTTGGTTTCCCCTTTCTAGTGCGAAGGCCTGTGCCATGGGGGAGTCGGCGGGGAGCGGGGGTGTGCTCGGAGGAATGGAGATACTTGTGCGAATGGCTGGGCATAGAGTAAAACTGTGATGGGCAACTAGTGGTTATTTTTGTTTGCAGAATTCTGTGTTTTGTAATGAAAAAGAAGGAGAAGAAAGAGGAGGAGGAGGAAGAGGAGAAAATAATAGTATTTCTTGAGTTCTTACTATGCAGTAGTTTAAGCACTAAGCCCATCGCAACACTGTAGTGCACAACCCTAAAGTTACTATTAGGGTCCCCACTTGCCAGTTAGAGGAATGGGCTTAGTGAGGTGAGGTGATTTGCTTGAGGTCACACAGCTAGTAAGTGGCAGTGCCGAATTTCAAGGCCCACCACCCCCGCCAGAGTCTGTGTTCTCACCTACTGTGCAGTGGCCAAGTCTGGGTGGCTGGTGTCCACCATGGGAGAGAACATCTTGCCTCGGACCTTATCTTAGTGCCACTGGGCCCAGGGAACAGGGTCAGAGCTGAATCACACGTGGTGTGCATCTTAGGTGCTCATGAAGTGCCAAGCATTTGTTTGACACAGAGGGTGGGAGTCAGTGCAGAGTGCCCGCAGCTGAGGGGCCCAGTGTATTCAAAGAGGGATTGAACTAGCAAATATAGGCACGCTGGGAAAACTGCCCCAAACAGTGGCCCCAGTGAAAAGAGGCTTCCTGTATTTTGCCACACATATTTGGAGTGGAAATTATCGTTGAAGATAAAGTGCTGAGCTGGAAGCACGGCCTGCCCTGACCGTGCTGCCTGTGGTGAGAAGTGTTGGTGGGAAGGGGTGAGGAGTGAGAGATGGGGGCCTCCAGTGAGATCAATGGACTGAACGGATTTGGGGACACGTGGTGAAACCCGACCAACCTTGGCCTTCAGTGAATGGGGAAGAAGGCTGGACCTAATAGCCCCATGCGATTTGAATGTCGTGGGAAAAGTTTGCACTTTGGAGGATGGACTGGACTCCTGCAGTGACCGTCCACTAGCTCTGATCTTGAACAAGTCACTTACCCTCTCAGAACCTTCTTCTTTTTGTTTGCAGAATGGGAAACATAATAAGCCTCCCCACGTAGATGTCAGGGCTAAGATATTAAGTAATGGGCACCTAAAAAAGTACATTTTTGGCCAGGTGTAGTGGCTCACGCCTGTAATCCCAGCACTTTGGGAGGTGGAGGTGGATGGATCACTCGGTCACGAATTCAACAACAGCCTGGCCAACATGGTGAAACCCCATCTCTACTAAAAAATACAAAAATTAGCCAGGTGTGGTGGCAGGTGCCTGTAATCCCAGCTACTCAGGAGGCTGAGGCAGGAGAATCGCTTGAACCCGGGAGGCGGAGGTTGCAGTGAGCTGAGATAGCGCCACTGCACCCCAGCCTGGGTGACAGAGTGAGACTCTGTCTCAAAAAAAAAAAAGTACATTTTTAAAAACATCAATTTTGATATATAATTCACATACCATACAGTTTATCCATTTAAAGTGTACAATTCAGTGGTTTTTATGTAGTCACAGATATGTACAGGCATGACCACAGTCAATTCTAGAACATTTTCATCACCTCTAAAAGATAGCCTTCAGCTCTCACCCCACCTCATCTCCCTATCCGCGCCAGGCCCCTGGCAATCACGAACCCACTTTCTGTGTTGATAGATTTCTCTATTCTGGACTTTCCCTATGGCTGGAATTTTGTGATCCGCAGCGGGCTTTTGGCTGCCTTCCTTCATTTAGCATTGTGTTTCTGAGGCCTAATCGTGTGGCAGCATGGATCAGTGCTTCGTTCTTTTTTGTGACTGAATCCTATTCCATTGCATTTATCCATTTACAAATTGATGGACATTTGAGTTCTTCCCACTTTTTGGCTATTCACTCTGCAATGAACATTCATGTACCTGTTTTTGTGGACATATGCTTTTATTTCTCTTGGGTGTATACCTAAGAGCGGAATTGCTGGGTTAGATGTGAGCTTTATGTTAAATTGTTTGAGGAACTACAGACTGTTTATACAACGTGGTCACCCCATTTTACATTCCTACCGGCAGTGTAGGAGGGGGCTCTGCACAGTTCTCAGGTACATCTTTCTGCACCCGACAACATCTGACAGACTCAATCAGATACCCACAAAGCCCCCAGTTCTCACACCACCGAGCCCTGCCCCTTGCTTCAACCTTGCCTCCCCCTCTTCTCTGCAGGGGCCTTCTGTGTGGTCACCCTTCATTACTGTCATGTAACTCCCTGAAGGAGCCCTTCCCTCCCATTCTGGACCTTCCAAAGCCATCTGCCTACCTGGCCTGGTCCTTCACAGACACTCTTTTCCATGGCCAGTTCCCCGTCTCCACAGAGCCCTGCCTTCCTCCTCCAGTGGGCCTCTGACTTCCCACTTGCCATACCCCTCTCAGTACCTGCCCAGATGTTGCAGAAGCCAGTGCCAGTGGGTGTAGGGGAGAATGCCTGACTTTGGACTCAGACTAACCAGAGTTCTGATTCTGGTGCTGGGATTTATCAGCTATGGAAGATCAGACACATCCCAAGCTGAATAGCATCAATAGTCTGTCCGGCAGTCGATGTTTGTCAACTGTGTGAATAAATAGGTAAGAGCAACACTCAAAGGGTAACAAGAGGTGGAGCTTAGTTACTCCCCAGGGAGCTAAGGGAAACCTGATGGAAAGATTTTAGTCATGGGAGAGATGAGGACACTGTGACCTAGGGAGACAGAGTGGCCTCTGCAAGGTCATACTGTGACCGTGGTGGGATTAGAAGCGAGGCCTTTCTGTCTACCAAATCTGACCTTCCCAAAACCCTCCCTTAACCTTCTAGACAGGGACATAGCTCTCAGAAAGGGCCCAGGAGCTGACGCCGTTCATAGTGGACACAACTATCAGTTTGTTCCTTGAGAGAAAAGAAACAGTTCCACTGACCTGCAAGTTAAACATACATCCCCAGAGCGCGGAGGTGTCTGGGACCTGCTCTGCTTCCCAGCCAAGCCCAGGATGGTGAAGAGCTGGTCTTTTCCACTCCCCGTTGGGCTGATCAATTAATAACCTTCCAAAAGC